GTAAAAACCGGGGTGACCCCGGGGAAATCCCACTCTCGGCCAATTTGAGCAAGAAAACCCCGTTTTGAATCTGACCAACTACTTAAAGAACCTGTAAGGTTCAGAGTCTTTCTACATCAAAGAAAAAAGTGGCATAAAACGTGATCTTGGTGGGTCTGGAGCAAAATGTTTCCATGATTTTCATCAAAACAAAATCAAAATAAATCAAAACATATACATCACAATTAGGTTAAATCAAGAATTATCCTGGTCCGAGTTAAAAACAAATGGTGAATATCACTGATGATAATGAATTCTTTCAGTGTCTCTATCACTCATCAATCAAATTAATCAATCAGAGTCTCGTATGGCCTCCTCCACGGCCACTTTGTTCGCCATGCAGTCCAGCGGCCGATAGATGCTGAATCCATGTGGTGGTTCTCATGGGCTGTTCTCATCACAGTTCATCAATCCTTTCCGGGATCCTTTGACACACAGAGAGTGCAGTCAGTGTTCTTATCAGGATAAGCAGTGTCTTTAATGAGCAAGTCTTTATTCACTCAAAATCTAAGTCACAACCAGATATTCTTATCCACAATTACTTTCCCTTTATCCCTTAAATCACCATTAACCTACATTTAAATTAATTTTACATGGACTCTGTGTTTTTTCAGCAGATTATTTCAGTGTCTATTCAAAAAACAAAAAATAAAAATGAATAAAAAGAAATCCCCAAAAACATCATATAAGCTCAAAATCACTGCAACTAATATAATCTAATTCAAGGAACCTGTAAATATTTAGAAAACATTTAACCCTTTTTTACACATTGTAACACTCAATTCATGGATTAAATAAATGAATTTTAAAACCATTTCTACATCATAGCATATTAAGTTTTAGTCTCGTCTAAACTTGTAACTGCATTTTAGTTTACTGCTACACCCTCCCCAGAAAATTATTAGAAGTTCTTTAATCTCTAAGGAAAAAACCCAGCTTGGCGCAGATTCCCCCTATTAAAAACTCCCCCACCAGACCTTGTATCCGTGAATGTTAGTGCATGAAAGAAAACCTCATTCCCATGTGGACCCTTGTGTGTTCTTCCAGTCGTTAACCGTGTGTGGGCGTGTTGTTACGTGACAGTATGTGTGTGTGTCTATGTGAGTGGATCTATACGTGGGAAACTGGTCAGGAGCCATCCCGCTACTGGTTTGGAAGAAAAAGTGTTTCTTGGAGCAGTGATCCTCTCCAACATGCAAAAAGTTTGATGTTCGGACAAGTCCATCAGGTTTCCCTCTGTTACCACAGCAGCTTTGAACCATAAGAGTCTTGGGGCCATGTGTCCCCACACCCCCTGAAGGATAAGTCTTTACCTGTGTCATCAGCAGTATCACATAGAGGTAGAAGGAAACAGTGCGTCAAAGGTGTTCCTCCCTTCAAGAGGAAATGTCATATTAAATTGTTCATCTGCTCAGAGCACAGGATTGTACTCTGACTCGCTGCTGCGTTCCCAAAACCCAGCAGTACACAGTTCCTGAAGGTGTTGAATTCGACTGCACCCCCTCTATGCAAAGTGTCCAGCTATAGTCCATTTAAAATATTCTCCAAAAAGCAGTGCTCCGATGAGAAAAAACAAACAAAACAAAAACAAAGAACAAAGAACAAAATAAAAACAAGAAAAAGAAAATCTGTTCCAATATCCCCAGAACCAGTAAATAGTTGTCATATCTGGACCCCTGACCAGATCCAAAAATGTGCAGGAAACATAATCTCTTCTCATATGTGTTCTCTCAAATAAACTAAACACTAAAGTGTGCATCCCCTCTAAAGTATTAATTTCAGCTCTAGTGAAGTAAAGTCAGGTGTTGTTATTGCTTCATGCATTAAAAGTATGGTTACCCATCCCCCAAATTGTATCTAGCCCCTCAAATGCTATTTATAACTCTGCTTGCAGTAAAAAAAAACAAACAAAAAACAAATAAAATTAATCAAAACAAATAAAATAAAATAAAAATAAAAAATAAATGGTGAAGTTTTAGTCCCTGGGCCTGATATTGAATCGCCATAAGCTCATTAACACTATAAGTCTTCATCGTTATTGCTTATATTGAAAGAAACCGTCATTTGCTTTAAACATTTGCTCCTAAAATGTTCTAATTTCTCCTAAATTGCATTCTGTTGATGCAACTTTACCATTCCCAAAAGTTAAAGTTTCAACTTGTTGTCCCTTTAATAATATTATGCTAATTAACAACTGACCAAACTATTTATCAAAAAAACCCAGTCTAATTTATCACATAGTAAAACATCTCTAAATCCTCTTTTTTATTACTCTATTTAAGAATATCCCACCCCCTGATGATATAAAGAAAAATTTAGCATAGTTTTTCATTGTGAACAAGAAATCTGGTGTGTCAGTTCACTTATCTTTTTTTTTCATCCGTCTTGTCCGATGATCCCATGACCTTCCATCAACTCATCACTGCCAGTGTTCTTTTCTCGTCCAAAGCAGTGGGCATCCAGTCATTTCCTTAATGTCTGCATCTCAGCAGCTGCACACCATCCCTCCTTCTGAAGTTTAGGAGCAAAGTTAGTCTCTGTGCCCCTTGTAGGTTAATCCATCCTGCGACTCAAGAAAGAAAGTGTCCAATGTCTCTCCAAACAAAAAAGATCCATTGTTCATTTTGAAACATTCCCATCCGTAGTGTAGTCAAAACTATTCAAAAAATTTTAACATGCGTGCCACGTCTTTTTTTGTGTGTTTTTTTTTTCATAAAGGCTAAGATGTTAGTAAACAAACAGAAAACAAACAAACATACAGACACAAACAACGACAAACATGTAAGACAACAAAAACCCCAGTGGTGCCACCGACTTCTCCAATTAGTTGTTGGTTCATCTTGTCATTCGTTAAATGCCTCTTTCAGCATGACTGCTCTTAATGTTCCACCCCAACAAAAGTCTGTGAGCTTCAAACCACCACATCAATCTGTACCTCATAGGTCATATCAGAACCAGAGAGGAATTAAAACAAACTCAGAGCTCACCAGAATGGCCTTCAGCCGGGAACAAAACATGCAGCCACAATCTCTACACCCTGTCTCTGGCATGCTGCGTTCTCACACCATCTCTCTAATGTCCTAAGCCATGGTTCCGATCCAGTCCAGTTACTAACCAAGTCAGTCCAGTCAGTTCGAACCTATTCAAATCCTCCTATCAAAAAGTTTTCAACTATCTGAACCCCTCTCTCTCTCTTGCTCTAGTCACTCTCAGCCAAGTTGTCCATTTCACATGCCAGAACTTCTGCAGCTGTTGGGAAAATAAGGGTTAATGCACATCTTAAACAAAACACAATGAAGGATGAGACTTTTGTCAGCCTGTCCTGGAAGAAAAAATGTTAACATTTAAGGATTGTTACAAACACAGCCTGAAAAAGAAAAAAGAACATGTTTAAGCAAAACGATCTCCTGATCCTCCTTAAATGGGCCTCTGAATAATCATGCCTGCTCCCTGACAGCCGCACTGTCACTCTCTACAAGCAGGGAAAAAGTAAATGACCCCTCTGGTTTGTTACCAGGAAAAAACAATCAAAAAGTTCATCAATTAGTCAGGTCACACCGAAATCGTTCTTAACTCTCCAGCCTTGTTTGTAAAAGTTGACCCCGCTAATCTGCTAAGCTCCTGCAGGTATCTTGGCCATATGCTGTGTCCAGTTCCAGCTGGAAGTGTGATTTATCCTGTCCCTAATCAATCTCTAATAAAATCCTAATGAGAGAAAAATGAAACTAATCAATCTCTAATGCAATTCTAATGATTGAAAATGAAACTACCTTTAAATTAAAATCATTTAATGCCCCCGTCTGAAATTTTTAGTTGCCCAAAAAGTAAAAACACCCACTCCCATAATTACTTATATATTTAATTATTATTTTTTTATCTATAATCCATTAATCTAGAGTATCTCAGCTGCACTCCACACTCAAAAATTACCTCACACCTTACAACAGCAACCTGCTCTGGTCTTGTCAGGGCCTCTCCTAGGTGGGGCCCCTGAGCAACATGTTTGATACGATTACCCTTCTGTTATGCCCCCAGTGCTCCTTCTCAATCCTGTAAAAATGCAAATCATGTTAATCATGTTAATGTCACATCAAAAAATATTCTTAATCATTCCCAACTTGACCACACACATTCTACCTCACATGCATTCCACATTTAGGACAGACAGACAGACATTGGCCACATAAAGTTTGTTTAATCCATCAGTATCAATTTAGATTTATCTTCTTAGAGGATTTTTTTCCCAATTTAAACAAAAAGTCATAATCTTTTCACCAGTCCGTTCTTAAGACCTCTGCACCAGTGCTTTTCAGCCTCATTTTAGGATCCTTGTTAAACTATATGTGCACATTTATGGAAACCTAAGATTTATTTGCTCACGTTAGACACCAAAATAAGTTTTCACACCCAATGATTTTTTAATTCTAGGCGTCCCCCAAAAATGACATGTTTGAATTTTCAACTATGAGAACACCTCTAAGGGGTTCTGAAAAAGTGGTATGTTTTGTTTTTCTCCTGAAAATCCCATTACCTGTGTAGTTTTTTGGCAGGGGGCACATAAAGATTCAGGGTGCTGTATCTGGCCCCCGTATCAACGATAAAAGGACAGTTGCTGCCCTCAATCAAAATATCTATCACCGCTGCTGGAAATCTCTCAAAAACCACCTCCATAACTACACAACTTGTGGGATCCCGGCCTCCCTAGTATTTCTGCATTTACTTCCTTTCTCTAAATCTTACTGAACCCGCACTTCGATCTTCTTTGCCCATTTCTCCCCTTCTCTATCCAACTCACCCTCCATTTCATCTACTGCTGTCTGCCTCTCTTTTATCCACTGAACTCAACCGTCCTAATTTATCTATTTGATGTAACCCACTCTATTCTGAACAGTTGACTGAGTAAAGATCCATTTAATCCACCTTAGAGTATCCTCAGTGATCAGTGTTTAATTTATATTCACTTTGCTACAGTTTGACAAACTTAGCTTGTGTGGTCTAACATTTTCAAATATAAGCTCCTGAATCAGTCACTCTAAATGCAGATTACAATACCATTCTAGTGTAGTAATTGGTAGATGTCTTTAAGGTAAAAACTGCTTCTAGACTCCTGGGCCCTGCTTCTGCTGTGATCGGCCCTGTGTGCACTCAGTCTCTCTGTGTCTGCTTTTTCCTTTCTCTCCTGCCTCTAAGTGAAAGGCTGCTCTGTGTGATCCACCTTCTGGAGCTCAATGTTGGGCCGGGGTTGGGGTTTACCGCACTGAAAATGTACTAATTGATCTTCTTACCTTTAAAATGTTAATTTCAAGACATCGTAAATTGTAAATATATCAACCTCTTATATTTTAAGCTTTCCTTTCCAAGGTTCACCTCCAAAAATCACAGAAACATCGACATTTTCATAACAATAGGAACTGAAATGCTGAAATGCTTTATTTACCGCCTCCTCTATTAAATCTTGCATCTGAAACTCCTTTCGTACCTCTTGTCCCAATTCTTCCTCTGTAGGCCTTATTTCACAATTTATCTGACCTTCACGCAACTCCATAACAGGCATCTGCACACATGGGTTTGATGGAAACATTGCATCACCAGCCTTACGAAATATTTCTCTGACACCTTGGTGTGGACTGGGGTCCATAATAGGCTCTGTTTCTGCAATATTAGATGTACTCATGAAAGGTTTTTCTTACCCTCTGAAGTGTCGAGTGCCTGCTCACCTCCCTGAGCCCCGTTTTGCTCCACCTGTTTCTGTTCAGAATCCTTGTCAGAAAAATAGTTACTAAAATTGAACTTGGTTTGTCTAATCAAATCCAAAAGTTTTGTTTCTTCCTTCTGGTGTTTGTCTCGTCCGAACACACCAGCACCAGCCATTTTTTCACGAGCTTGTGACAATCTATTTTTTAGAGTATCCAAATAAAAAACCACGTTGTGAAGTGTTTGGAGGGGGCCCCTCTAATTCCCCAAACACTCCATCTTCTCTCATTTTTTTTCTTTTCCTACCCATTCATCAAATTTTCTAATGTGGTGCTCTGCATCCTTCAATGGATAACTCGCCATGATCATATTTCTCCCTTTATCCAGACTCGCTTTTAACGAGGTGTTTCTGGATTCAATTTTCTAGTCCACATGCATCCATCTTTTACACCTTCCGTTCACACAGTGTATAAAATTAGACCTCGACGTCTTACGTGAGATCCCTCGGTGCTTTAAACTTTTTACCTATAAACTTCAGTGAGCCGCTTTTCTGCTAAGGAAGCGCATTCGTCAACAACTGTGTCCGTCAAGGAAGTGTGTCCGTCAGTGAAAAGGAAAAAAGAAAGGAAATTTAGAGAAAAGAAAAGATTTAGATATAGTTCCGCCTAGTTCACTCCACCAACTTTTAGGATTAGACAAACAAGTTACCTAATCCGGGCATCAGTCTCTTCTAGTTTTATGAGGAATATCATTTTATCGTCTCTCTCTTTTCCTTTTATAAGAGAAGAGAAGGAAAGAGAAAAACACCTCAAAAGGTCCGTTTCAACCTGACCCGCTCGCTTATTTCCAGTCTCGGTTTTTCGTAAATGTCCTTATGGGAGGTATACTGGCAAACTCCAGCCGGCTATGTGACTGGTTTCTGTCTGTGCGTCTGTTTTCAGAAGTGCATCTTTCGTGTCTGCAGGCAGACCGGGAATAAAATCACCGTCCCTTTCTGCATGCAGAAACCGTTGGGCTTTCCAACCAACTTATCCTAGTGAGCAGTATAGTTGTTGAAGACGTTTGCGCAGTCGCCTTCAGTCGGACTTTCAACCGCTACCCACAGCAGAACGCACGACTTTCTTTCTCTCTCTCTCTCCTTTTTTTTCTTTTTTTTTTTTTATGTGTACACATTCGCAATGTAAAAAAAATTAAAAACCAACAAATACAACAAAACAAAAACCGCAAAAACAAAAACTAAAATCACTCTGAGCAATTTCTCTGTCCTTTTTTGCATAAAAAGCTTCAGCTCACTTCAGAAAATCACAACACAGCCAAAGTGTTTTAACAGTAAAAACACTGGAGATATTTTGTAATAAGGAATCTCCTCACCTTATCAGTTGTTTCGGCCGCAGGCTGTGGAGCTTTTTCCGTCGGTGGCTCTGTTGTCCTGCTTCCAGGTCACGGGCGGAAACACCAATTTGTTAAAGTGAGAAGGATTTGTCCCCTTCAAAGTAAAGGCTGTAACGCCCCGGGGCCTCCTCACACGGTTCTTTTCCTGGGAGCAAGTTATTTACTACTCTTAACTCAAACTCGTTAAAACCATATAAAAAAGGACTATAAAAACAGGAGTAAAAAAGTAACAGAGTTTATTCTAGATCAGGTCGTTACAGGACAGAGAAAAATGCTTTGAGCTATACACAGCTGTGGTCTCAAAAATCCCGTCCGCAAGCGTCCGGCAAAGTTTGAGCCCCGAACAACGTCATCACCTGCTTCTTATACCTTCTGAGTCTGTGTCACATCATGTGGATGCTTAGCTGTCCGTATCAGAAACTGACACGCCATCCATGTCTTGAACTCCATGCAGGTTGCCTCTCTGTCTCAGGGTTACAGATACAGCAGCTCTCCTATCAGACCGGCTCCAAGATGTGCCCATATCCTTTGTACTCTTAGAGACACAAAGGCTGTCTTGATTAGATGACCTCCGCACACACTGTGATATCCACAATGTGAAGGAAGGCCTTCTGCTCTGTCTAATCTGACAAATTAGTGCACATGATGTATAAATAATAAACCCTAACATGATGCAGTTGTCAGAATTAGAATAAAGTTTATTGCCAAGTAGGTTTGCACTGTGTCATAATGTACCAGGATATGTTCTAAAAACGGGAAAATTACAGAGAACAATGGCTTGGCAGGAAATTTAGGATGTATTTTGGGGGAGGGTGGACTAGTTGTTAAGGCATTGCGCTTGTATCCCAAAGGTTCTGAGTTCAAGCCCCACTCCAACGGTCTGCCTGGGTCCCTTAGCAAGTCCCTTAACACCCACACCGCTCCCTAGGCGCCACACAATGGCAGCCCACTGCTCCCCAAAGGGATGGGTGAAATGCAGAGAGTGAATTTCGTTGCTTTGTACCTGTGACAGTGTAATGACAATAAAGTTGCATTCTATTCTACTTACAAGGAATTTTACTTGGTATTGATGATGCAGACAAATTGATTTATATATACAGAATACAGAATCTATAGCTATTTACAATATAAAACATATAATATACTATATACACTATATATCATGTAGGTATATACTGTATACACAGTAGGCTGTGTGTTAAAGTAAGGTGTGAGGTCTGGAGATGCTACGTTGGAGTAGCTTCTAGGTCCTGAACGTGGAGGGAGAGAGACAGTGTCAGTGTCACGGGGGTCTCTAGGCCTTGTTGATCAGGCTGGTAGCGGATGGGAAGAAGCTGTTCTTGTGGCGTGAGGTTTTGATCCTGATGGACTGTAGCCTCCTGCCAGATGGAAGTGTCTGAAATAGTTTGTAGCTTAGGTGCGAGGGATCAGCCACAATCTTCCCTGCACGCCTCACAGTCCTGGAGGCGTACAGGTCCTGGAGAGTTGGAAGATTGCAGCCAGTCTCCTTCTCTGCAGACACGCTGCTGTCTACCCTTGTCCTTGGTGGTGGGACCAGTGTATCAGATGGTGATGGAGGAGGTCAGGATGGAGTCAATGATAGAGGGGTAGAAGTGTACCATCATTGTCCTTGGCAAGTTGAATTCTTTCAGCTGCCACAGGAAGTACATCCTCTGCTGGGATTTCCTGGTGAGGAAGTTGATGTTTGGTCCCTACTTTAGGTCCTGTGAGGGCACAGGGATGTGTCTCAGATAGGTTGGTTAAGAGGGTCCCACAGGGAACAGTGCTGGCACCGTTCCTCTTCGTACCTTACACTGCAGACTTCTCAATTAAATCCCCACACTGACACCTCCAGAAGTTATCTGACGATTCTGCCATAGTTGGCCTCATCACAGGTGGGGACGACTCAGAGTGCAGACAGTGGATCCAAGACTTTGTGGACTGGGCCAGCAGAACCACCTCCTGAATAATGTATCAGAATATTACACTAAGTTCCTACAGGAGCAGCCATTCAAAATGACCCTTCCCGGTCAAATGTTGACCTAAAGACCTTCTATGAGTGTTGTGGCATCAGCCATCTTCTATGGAGCTGCCTGTTGGAGCAGTAACTTATCTGTAGCTAATAGAAAGCGGCTGGATAAGCTGATCAGGAAGGCCAGCTCTGGGATTGGATGCCCTCTGGACTCAGTGCAGGAGGTGGGAAACAAAAGGATCCTAACTAAAATAACATCTCTGTTGGATAATGTCTCCCACCCAATACATGAACCTATTTCAGAACTGGAAAGCTCCTTCAGTGACAGACTGCTGCACCCAAAATGCACCAGGGAGCATTATCACAGATCCTTGCTCCCAGCAGCTGTAAGACTTTATAACCATCACTGTTCCAAACAACCTCAATAAGTTGTTACAGTCATGCTGATTTTTGCAGTGTTTCAGTCTTAGTCAATTTAATAACATGCTCCTCTCATTTTTTGCACATTGTGATGTTGCTGCTATTTTTCATCTGACCATTACTCTAAAAATGTCCACAGATGTTATTTTTTTTTTTCTATTGTCCACATCGAGTATTTATATTGTAAAACATAGTACAGTAAAATACTTTGTTTTATTTTCTTATCTTTTATTTTGATACACTGTTCTAAGGTTCACATTGTGGGACAACTTCTGCTATAACCTTTTCCAGCTATAACACCACAATTTCCCCATTAAAGGACAATAAAGTGATTTTCTATTCTATTCTATTCAAACTTACTTCTTCATGCTTTTTTTCTTCTTAATTAGCTGAGACAAAACTGCCAAGTCTGTGAGCAAGTTGCAATGTCAATGTCTCCAATTTAGGAACAAATTGATAAACTATTTCAAAGGCTCTTTCCTCAAACGGTAGCTCCTACCTTTTGTTCCTAGCTCCTATCCTTTATCTTTCACATGGCAAACAGCTACCACTCAGCCACACGGACTCTTTCATCCATGCATCCTCCATCACGTCACAAGGAGAAGCTTTTCGATTCAGTGGATAATTCCTACAGAATCTGTTGCACTACGGCAGCATGATGCACAGTTCCCCTCTGTTGTGCATCATTATTTTGGAGTTGCCACAGCAAGTCATTGCAACTTGCTCACAGACTTGGCAGAGTTTTGAAACAGTTACAGTTTGATACAGATACAGTTTGTAACAACTCTGGAAATCGAACTCGAGTTCTCAAAGGCAAAGACAAATACACCACACAGAGGCATAGTTTATGTGACATGAAATCTCAAAGAAAAAAACCAAACAACTGAAGGACGTGGTAAGACTTTGGAAAATGTAAATGACTGTAAATAGTTGATCACTGTCCTACATCTTTATTATTTTTATCACTCTATCGATGAAAAAGAAAGCAGCTTACAAATACAACAGATGATAGCAAAGAAAATCTATTCTGAAAATAATCTAATTCAAATTTTACTTTATTTTTCCTTAATGACAATGCAATTTGTGCTTTCCAAGAGGATTCATTGCTGCTCCAAGGATTTATGCAAGGTTTTAGATTAGATAGACAACAAAATCTCTTTATATCTCAACTTTTTAATAAGCACAGGGAGACATCTTAACCACTTGTCAGTCACCCATCACAACAGAAAGGGCCAAAAATAAAACAGCCACTTAACCCATCTCAGTATAAATGGACAAATGTAGCCTGGGAGCCAATATCAGACCACCCACTAAGCTCAGTTTACGCCAGCCAAACCACCAATTCAGCTTAAACTGAAATGATATTGCAGATTTAGAGGTTTGGTCCTGCTAAGTATAAGCATTTACACTATTTGCATTTGGTGTGTAGCATGGTGACAGGTAGCTGCAATGAAAGCAGGGAGGAAGAGGGAGAGCAATCAGCTAACCTTCGTCTGGCTGAGGTGGAAGGCGACGCCACACACACAAACAACCAGTCACCATGAGACAGTGATTGATGTCTCATCCTGCTTTGAAATCTATCACCAGACCAAGTGGCTGTCGAAAGCCTGCCTCGTAGATTGTTAAACATGGCCCAATATGCATCACACTGGCAAATAATTCATTCATTCTTTATTATGTGGCTCTGAATGGTGTAAGCAATTTTAAAAATATATATGTTTAATGCATTAAGTGCTTTTATGTCCACAATGAGAATTATTTGTAGTTATGCAGCATTTTTTTCATTTGGCCAGACAGATTGCGGACTCTTGACTTATAGAAATAATTAAGATAATGACGAGACATAAATGGCAAATCTTGAAGTCGTATACTTTTGATTTCAGTGATAATGTTAAACATCTGGCAGTCGACCTTTTAACCTCAGCATCTCTTTCTTCTTCATTTGTTCAATTAGCTTTGCCACTATTAGATTTACTTAAAGCAGATCTCAGTCGTAACATTAACATACAGTCTCAATATTTCCTAATTTACAAACAATTGGCAGCAAAAAAAGAAAATGGTACAGGCAAAAAAAGTCAAGAGTTTTTTGTTTTGTTTTTAGTATCATCTTGATTTACATTTATCAATGATGTTTTAAAAAACTGCTTTTTTTTTTTTTGTTATTTAGAAAAATTTCCACCTGTCACCAATATTCCTTTCAAGATCCCCAGGTGTTTTGTTTTCCTTTGATCAATTTTTCAGCACATTTTTCTCTTCAGCTCTCACCCAGCTGCCTTTCATTCCATTGACTGTACTCATTGGATGAGTATAAATGTATCTTCACTATGTGTCTGAATTGATCCTGTTGCAGTCATGTTAGAAATAACATTCTAGCATTACATTTCTCATCTCAGTGTAACCGAAAGAATGGAAGTCCTAAGCCATCAAGTAACTTGTGCCAGAACTGACAGCGCACCTGCCTTTAAGTGATCTTACGCAGTTTTGAGCAGCAATTCATTCTGGAGCCTCACCATAGGCCAAATCAAGACAATAAGAGTCAGATCCTCCCACAGTCTAGCGCTTATGGTGAAAGGGCATGAATCAGACAGAAATAGAGCACATAAACCAGTTGTATTTTTGCTTGTTGAGGTGATAAAAACCTAACCCCCTAGGAGCCCTAACCTGCTTTTAGCTCTTGGAAGGCTGACCCATTTTTTATAGAACGTAATGGTTTAGTAAAAATAGAAATAAGTTTTAAAATCAAATCCCACATTATTAATTACTGTATAAGCAGAACTGGTTTAATATCTTTGTGAAGGCTTTGTAATTG